CCTGATAGTAATTGAAATGCTTCTAATGTTCTCCTATTTCGGTATTCTTAATTATATTAATCATAACAAAACATTCGGTAATCATAATTCTCAAGAATTTCAAGCACGTAGTGCTTAGTGTCAAAAATTAAAATAGGTGATGGTTGGGTAATCTATTTCACAGCCAGATCACTATACTTTTATATAAATATTATGATCTAAATAAGATCATATAGATAGCTAAGATGCCATAGAAAGAATTATGACCCTTAAGTGGAACTGGGCGGGGCACATAGCTAGAATGTCGGGTAACAGATGGACACAGCGAATAATACAGTGGAGACCGAGACAAGAAGCACATCGAAGTAGAGGTCGTTCACCAACAAGATGGTCTGATGACATAAAACGGATCGACAAAAATTTAATGCAAACAGCACAAAACAGAAACACATGGAAAAGACTGAGGGAGACCTATATCCAGCAGTGGATAGATCCGGGTTAAATGATGATGATCTAAATAGGTACCTATTCTCCGAATCAAAATATATAATAAAACTTATATATCTGATAGCTGATGTAAGCACTTATCCCAATAATTTCATCTTTATTTGTTAAATACTTAAATAAAATTATGGTTGTTTGAATGCATATTGTATTGGAAGTGGGAAACTCACTGAAATTGTCTTTTGGTACTTATGTATAAAGTGTTACTTCTTAATAATAATTATTGGAGTTTAGAGCAGAGTAAAAGTATAACAATAAAGATGAGTGACAATAATAACAGTAGTGTATTTAGTGATAGTGGGGCTGATGTAGTCATCAAATAAAAAAAAATTAAAATAACCAAATTTAAAGAAAAAACATTTAATGTTAAGTAGTTAGAAAATCCTTTTAAAATCTGGGTTAAGGCTTTGCCACATAATAATAAAACATGTATGTGGAAAGTGTGTAATGCAGAAATTTTATGTGGCAAAAGAGAACTGCAAAAACATGCTGCATGTTAGGTAAGAAACATTTAAAAAATATGACTGCTACTAAATCTAGTTCAAGTATTTCCTCGTTTTTGGCAACTGGTAATACTTCTTTAAATCACCAAAATGCCGTAAAAGGCGCCGAAATAAGATAAGTGTCTTTTTTGCTGAACATAACGTGGCTAAATATACATTCTTATATTTCTGTTACAAAACCCATTTTGTAAACGGGAGGGAATTTTTTCATCAAAGTGGGAATTTTTAAGGTAAGTTGAGGGAAAAAGCTTGCAAGAAGGTTGGCAACACGAGCAGTCCCAACACTACGGTCTAATTATCACTCAGACCTTCGTTTAGACGAGACCTTCGTATTGTCGGTTAGACGAGATCCCTAGTATATGTTAAAAAATATAAAATATGTAATATTTACAATAATGAGGCACGTACTTATACAAATTTTAGATATTACATATCTTGCTATTTTGTTAAAAATATGCGAAACCCAACCTTTCCTATGAATCACCTCTGATATACATTTATGATAGTTTAGATAATCATTCCAAAAATATATTTTAAATACCAATAAAGATAAAAACCTAATAAGCAGTGCACACTGCATATTTTTCGGGTTTTGGACTTTTAAATTACTTTTCATTAATTATGTATTCACGGTGTGGTCATAAAATGGATTAAGGTTATTATGAGGCTGTTAAATAGCTATGTGTGTACTAATTATTATATATTCGGCTTTTATATTTTTTATTTATTTTTTATATATAGTCGGTCAGATAGCTCAGCGGGCTGTGCGGCTGCCTCTCATTCACTTCACTGTCGAATGGTTCAGTGGATCTTTGATCGAGCCCTTACAGAAAACAAAAAGTCTAACGCAGCAGTTTAAAATTCTAGATGAATCTGCGGCTTAGACTAGAATATGCTGGGGTCCGATCGGCCTATGGTGGAGCAGTACGGCAAGAGATAAGGGCTTGCGTCTCGGTGATACTCCTCCATAGATCCCTACCGGACGGGCGTAACGTTTAAAAAACCGGATATATATATATATATATATATATATATATATATATATATATATATATATATATATATATTACATATTCGGCTTTTAATCTTAAAGTTTAGTATCATATTATCATAAAGTATAGTGATACCTGAATATATGTAGCTCAGGCGTTTTTTACATGTCAACATTCTGGGTCTGGATCAGATTTCAAAGTATAGATAATTATTTAGAGAGCAAAAATGATAGCAATTCATAGAGAGATGTTACGTCATTATGAGAGTTAAGAATGTCACTCCTTTAATAGAATTGCTGGACGAAATAGCCAAAGAGAGCTACTTAATAAAGTTTCTTAGCTTAGATCAAGTCAAAGTCTAACCAGAAGTATAGGAAAATAACAGGATAATACCAGTTTTGTTCGCGGAGACAGTCCCTGACTAGTTTTGGATAAATTTCGGACCGATTTGGGATTAACGTTGTGCGCTGGCGCGATTAGTTACTAGTTTTGAACAGCTATTTCTCCGCGAACGATTTCCGGACGTTTCTGACTGTTTCTAACCCCAAAACATCAACACGCTGTTTTGTTTATATGTACAAGGAGGAACACAGACATTTGACAAAAATTTATTTTAAAGACGATATTGCTGTATTGTCAAAATGTGTAAGTAAAAAATAGGGTACTAGCACAGAGTAATAAACAATTGTAATAATAAGCAATAATAAATAATAATAAATTGTTGTTTATTCTGCGGTGCTAGTGTCGTAAGACGGAACGATGTCTACGGAGATGAAATTGATATCAATGACCCTGAACGTCCAGAATTTCCTCTAAGTCCTCATCGCTGGATGTAAAATGATCGCTTATCTATAAATAACATTCATTTTTTAATACATACTTATAAATATATGTACTGTTTTTAGTTCCATATTTATAATGCAATAAAATATTAAATGACTTTTTTATATTTTTTAATTTATATCGCTAAAAAGATTTAGAGAATTTTAGTTATATTTATTTAAAGATGTCGAAACGTAAAGATTATATTGCCGCTTCTCAACAAAAATAAATAATAGGTTAGTTAATATTAACGGTTGACCAAAAAAAAACAAACACAAAACCTGTCAATTTACAGTTTCTATAGCGCTTGCGCTAACTAAAAATCCGCACTCTAATCCATGAACCAAATGGACTGATCATGAACCAGTTTGAAACTCTCCGCGAACATCGAACTCTTTGTCAAAGTCCCGGATTTTTAACACCGCGAACGCCTGAAAACAGAACTGCGCATGCGAAACAGTCAGAAACCAGTCAGGGACTGTCTCCGCGAACAAAACTAGCTAAATCTCGAACAATAAGAAAACACAATTTGATACGTATAATCTGAAAGAAGAACGTAGCTTACGAGTAATACTGAAAAATATTCACACTGTGTAGAGATTGTTTAGAATATAAAACACTACAGAACTAAAAATCCACTGCCCATGTCTTGTTGATCTTAAACCAGCACCTAACAGCAAAACCTGAGAATTTTCATTAAAAAAAAAAAAGAATTACACCAGAACTAATATCCGGCACTTCGTCCAAAGTAAGTTAACCATACGAAACCTAAATAGATGCTCAGGTAATATCTAACAAGCAAATGGAACTCCCTAGCACAAGTGCACAGCAACACCAAAACCAGACATCACACGAAACCATAGGCGATATGGTCGAACTGAAACTAATGATGGAAAGGCTCAATTAACAAATGAATGAGTATGGTGTTAAACCTGTGACTACAATGATCGCTACACTGCCCAAATGACCAGGTTCTTCAAAATGGCACTCTCAAATGCCAATGGGCTAGACCAACATGCCCAAGAGGTTACAGCCTTCATAATCAACAAGAACATTGACATAATGCTAATATCGGAAACCCACTATACCAGCTGCAGTTATTTTAAATGTCCTTATTCTGTAATATACAGCACCAATCATCCAGATGGTACGGCATACGGCGGATCTGCAGTCATAATAAAGAAATTAAGCATCACGAGCATAGCAAAACCACTAACGACTATTTGCAAGATACCAGCATATCCATTGAAGATTGGGAAGGGCCATTAACAATAACAGCCATCTACATCAACAAACAACAATTCACACAGCTCTTCAGATCACTTGGAAACAGATTCTTAGCAGGCGCAGACTACAACGCTAAACATACGCACTGGATATCTAGACTTATTTCTCCAAAAGGACGACAACTTTATATGTGTATGCAAATCAACAATCTTAAAAACATATCTACGGGTTAACCTACCTACTGGTCCACCGACAGAAACAAAATATCAGATCAGGTAGATTTTGATGTCATCATGGGTTTATCAAACAACCACTTAAGGGGTTCTTCTTCTTATGATCTGTTTTTTGACCATTCTCCTGTTTTAATAGGAGTAAGTTCTGAAATCGTTTACAGAACACAAGCTGCTACATTAACTAACAAGTCCACAACAAGAATTGCTAAGCAGTAAATTAGAATAGTACGTAGTTTATGCATGTTCGTCGATCTTGTTGAAAAAACTTGACAAATATGGTCTGGGAGGATGGGTTTTGACATTACTAAAAAGTTACTTAACTGACAGAAAACGATTTGTAGAAATTGATTGTGTCAAAAGTGACCCTGAAGTAATTAATTATGGCGTACCACAAGAGACCGTTTTAGGCCCTCTCCTTTTTTACACTCCATGTTAATGACATCCTTAAACTAAAAACTGTTGGAAACATAATTAGTTTTGCTGATGACACCGCCATTTTTTATATTTTCGAAATTTCGAAACTAATGATCCCGAACGACACTAGAATTGCTTTTCACTAACGACACCATTGAAAAAGGTGAATATAATTTATTATATTTTATTCCCGTTCTAAATTATCTTCTACGTTACCCAACTTTACTTCGCTTTTGTTGCAGATGTCAATAAATTGTAATATAATAACCATTATTTACGAACCACTGGTATATGCATGTATATATGGAGTTACTTTCTTTTTTCAGATATCTTTGGACCGGTGTATACACTCCAGTGACATCGCGATGCGACTTCAAGCCTTCAGCGGAACCGAACTCGAAAATAATCAAAGTTTAGCAGAATACCACGGTTTCTTCTACCTCACCAAGTTAGCGGCTATCAATTCTTTGGCCTCGAGGCATCCGGGATCTATGGAATACGCCTTTAAACTAAGGAGGAAAAAGTTCTCTATAGACGTTCTCCATCTACCTCCTGGTAAGTGAACTAATGGCTATATAATATAATATATATATATATATATATATATATATATATATATATAGTGAAAAGGAGATAATACTGGGATAATACTTTTGGTTATATATATATATATATATATATATATATATATATATATATATATATATATATATATATATATATATATATAGAGTTTGTAAGGGAATGTCATTTTAGAATGGCAGCTATGTACGCCATTGCTCCCGCTTGGGGGCGCTAGTGTAGTTAGAAGTCAACACATTTGGTGACATCTAGAAATTTTTATATTGGTCTGAGTATTATAGTGATGTATTTGTATTTGGATTTGAACTAATACAGTCATATCTAAAATATGGTAATTTTAGCTACCTACCATACATTGAATACAGTTTTGTGCTGTCTTAAAACAAAACCAATTATAAATCATCACTTTTGATATATGTATGAAAGATATTGTGTTGCTGCCAGAAGTTCATTACTTTGCCAGTTCAGAAACTGATTAGGTATTCTATATTATATTATAGGTTGGGCTGCATAAATATGATCGAAATTTTCGACATGACATTGTATGGTCACTAATATGGATCTCATCAGAAATTCCTTTAATAGATTTCGTCGACATAAATAAATATTTTCTATATATTTGTAAGTTAGCAGAAGGAATGAGCATGTGTGTCACAGTCCACAGAAAAAAACTACAGTATGATGCAAAATAAATTTTTGTTAGCTATTGGTCAATCAAAAACAGATGAATATCATTTTTACCGAGCGCAAGTCAATAGTGAAATGACCAAAGCACTTACATACAATCTAAAACTGGTCCTCTCCATAGATGAAAGTATTACTGAAGCATTATGTTAATGTATTGTTGGCAAGCGATACAGAGCAGTGTGAAAACATGTTGCTGTTGCGATGCTTTACTAAACCTGAAAGATCGTGGTAAATGATACATAAAAGATACCTTCACTAAATGAAAGCAAGTTTGGCATATGCCAAACAATTTCAGACTGGAAGTATCGCCAAAGAAAGCCGAACAAATAAATTTTATAGTTCCTGTGTGGAATGTGCAAAAAAAGCAAAAGACAAACTTCTGTTATAATTATAATCCAAGACCACAACAATACAGAAATATGCCTAATTTTACTGATAGTGTAATCAGTGTAACATATTGGAGTAAAAAATGCGAGAAAATAGCTATCCGTGCCTATGAGGAGGCAACTATTAACCATTTCATTAGCTGTGGACTTTTTATTTCATTGGACCATCCTTATTTAGCTGCTTTTCCTGATGGACTTGTGGAATAACTAACTTTTATTCTAACTAACCACTATTCAGTAAAAGATTCAATGATTAGTTCTGATAGTTTGCCATATTTAGAAATGAAAGATACGTTTGAAATTAAATTCAAATTATTACAATCAAGTGCAAACTCAAATGTTTGCCACTGGTCGTGAGTTCGGTGATTTTTTCACTTGGACAAAAAGATATGAGATGTATTTCTATAGGTAGAAAAAATGATTTAATTCATAATGAAATATTCCCTCAAGCCAAGAGTTTTTTGAGTAGTATATGGTTATAGCATTGACTGAAAAATACTATTTCTTACCGAAGTAGATAATCTTAATCTGTATAACAAAATAAAAGACAAATAAATAGTATTTATGTTAATTTTATTAATTTTTATCTATTATGTTGCTACGAAAATTTGCTAACATAAAGCATACAACTATTATCCTTTATATAATATTTAATTTATTGTAGATACCAGTAAATGCATTTCCGTCGCACAGATTTACCTCTTCTTATTGCCACAATCTACTTTTTTCTCATCAGATTATTTTTGAAACACCTGTGTTCTGATGTTCTCGATGAGTACAAAGGCACAGCACAACAAATTAAATCCACACAACGAAATAAATACAATATTAACTTAAAAATATATAGATTTGGACAGTTGACGTGACCTCCAACTACACTAGCTCCATCTACGTTGGGCTTTCCAGATTAGCTGCCATTGACGTTGGTGAGTTGTAGCCATATACACTGTTAATGAACGTAACTATAAAGACAAGAAGATAAAGAACAACAAAAGCGAAGGATTTGGTACAAAATCAATTAATAGAAAAATCTGAATGAATAAAGCAATGACATTGTTGGATGTTTATAATCAAACATTATTTGAAGAGCATAATTCAAAGACAGCAGTGTAATTTCAGAAACGAAAATCTGTAAGTCATAGATCAGCGATTCTCAAACTTTTTTTACCCGTACCGCTTATATAAATTCTGCGTCAATCGCGTACCACATATTAAAAAAGTAGATAATAAAATTTACTAATTTTGGCAAAAATGTATTTATTTAAAAAAGGGCATTATAAATGTTACAAAATAAAAGTTACAGTCTCACCCAGTCCAAAAATTCAATGAGAAGGATGGTTTTGCATAGCCACAACAAGTGAATCGATCTCTTCTTCTTCGCGTTCCATATCAGAATAATCCGACGTTAGCGATCACCACTGCGAAGGCTTCTCGATTTTCTGCAATATGGAATAATTGTCCTGCATTTGATATCTCAGTCCATTCACGAATGTTTTTTAACCAAGAAGCTTGTTTTCTTCCTACACCTCTACGGCCCTCTATTTTGCCTTTAAGGATCGGTTGTAATATTTTATATCGACTTCCCCTTACTCCATGTCCCAGATAAAACATTTTTCGATGTTTAATAGTCTTTAGCAGTTCTCTATCTTTGTTGACGCTCGTTAGTACTTCTTCATTAGTTTTCCTTGCTGTCCAAGGTATCTTCAGCAATCGTCTATGAATCCACATTTCCAATACTTCAATTTTATTCATGATCGATACTTTTAGCGTCCACAGTTCTGCACTATACAAAAGTACGGACCAAAAATAGCACTTAACCATTCTTTGTCTTAGTTCTAAAGTGAATCCATATCAGAATCAATTTGCTTAGTTTCATTCGTAAATTTGGATCAAGATTAAGCCTACTGCGAAATTAATTTTTCACGTGGTTGTAAATTGAAGTAAAAATAACAATGCTTTTTTTGATAAAGCTGGATACATTTTTAATGTTTAACCAGAATTCGGCTAATTATAATTTTGAAAACTATATTTCCAAACTCCCATCACAAGATAGTTCTATTCAAAGACTCTTTTTCATTCTGTTTTAATATTTCAGAAATGCTATCCAAAATAAATGGTTGTCGTATCCAAAGAAACTGAGTATAGTCTTCGTCAAAATATTCTTTAAAACCATCAATTAGAATTTGGCAATGCTGTTTTATATTAAAATTAAGATCATCTTTAATCTTTATTTCATGCTTAACCACAAAATATTTTAATCTGGTAAACGACTGCAAGTATTTGTTTGAAAAACTATTTTTCAAACAATCTGATTGCGACAATCGCATTGACAAAGACATTTTAAATAGGAAACAGAAGAATGCATTTTTCTCTATTTCTTTATTGCTTATTTCAGCATAGTACTGAATTTAATGTTAATATCCGTGTTATATTTTACTCATTAAAACGTTTTTAAAATATTGTAGATAAGATAATTTGAAATTATATTTTCATTTTTATATATATTTTTTTTCTATTCACAATTTTAAAAATTGACTTGAAAGTGGAGGGCTATATTAACATGTTTGTTTTGTTTTTCAGATATTCAAGAAAATAACGACACCAAAAGGCATAATATTCCACAATTCGGGTGTGCCACTGGCGGCATGAAAAATTTAGATTTTTAAATTAAATCCGTACCTTGAATCAAGTTGATGTAATTTATTTATTGAAAAGTATTATATTTTGAAAGATTTGACAAATACAAGTGTTTTTATATATAAGCGTTTGTTTTTCTTTTAAAAGTTATTTAACTATATCAAATCAAACTGGAAGAAAAAGTAACTGAAACCTCTTAACTGGAATCTCTTCAGGTTCTTTGCAGCAGATGTTGGGAACTCTATTGCTAGCAATTTTCTTCAGATAGCGAAAATGGCTCTTGTGCCTGAAGTAGTTTAAAATGGGCGTCCCGACGAGAATAGAGACGAGTGTAGAGATCATCATCATCAATCAGCCAATCGCGTCCACTGCTGGACATAGGCCTCCCTCAGTTGATTGTCTCTGCTTATTTTGATTTCGTGTCCCAGATATTTGTAAGTGTCTGTTTGTTATATGGTATTATTGTCAATAGTTATATTTCCACTCATTACGAGATTTGTTATAAGTTTAATTTTCTCAAAGTTTATCTTTAATCCTGCTCTTTCAGACAGACTTTTAAGCGAATGCATCATAGAAACTGTATCATGTAAGTTATCTGCGATTAATACAACATCATCTGCAAATCTTAGGTGATTTAATCTTTCTCCATCTATATTGATGCCCATATCTTGCCATTGAGTGCTCTTAAATAACCTAGAATACATTAAAGATTCCAAATTCAATAGATTAAATAATAAGTTACACAATTTACTAAATAAGAAAAATAATCACAACAATAATATTCAAAACACTAATAGATTGAATGGCTCCTTTAAATTTAAATTTCACAAACGCATAGTTAATCTAACAAATTGCTCATTCACTAATAAAGAATTTGATTTTTTGTCTAACGGATTAAAATTCTCTACCTTAATACCATTTAACAACAAAACAGTTGAAGAATTTTCAGTTGACATAGATTCTGTAATAGAAAGCTTACCTTTAGACTACATTTCTAAAACCAACTTAAAAAGCAATTGTTTCCTTTCTTTACAAAAAGATCTTATCAAATTTAATAATAATGTTAATAACATAAAAATCAAATGCTTTAAACAACTACATTTGATTAGACAAATATCTACAAAATTGAATAGTAACAATCTTATTATTACTAAAGCTGATAAAGGTAACTGCCTCATTATCATGTACCATCATGATTACGTTCAAAAAACAGAAGAATTTCTAAGAAATAATAACTTTGACATTCTAGATAGAAATCCTCTAAATAAACTAGCTACTAATCTTAAAGCTATTTTATCTAAACATAAAGATTTCCTACAATCACATAACAGGATAGAGAAAACCTTCATTTTGTCAAATCCGCAAATACCAAGACTATATGGTTTACCAAAAATTCATAAACCTAACACCCCTATGAGACCAGTGGTTAGTTTTTATAACACACCAGTTGTTACATTGTCCAAATTCATCAATTCTATTTTACAATCCTCAATATCTGTTCAACCCACTTTTTCTGTCAAAAACTCTACAGACTTAGTAAATAAATTGTCAGTTTTAAATTTACCTAGAGTCTTTTTTCTAGTTTCCTTTGATGTAAGTAATTTGTTTACAAATGTACCTAGAGATGAAACCATTTCCATAGTTGAGAAATTACTTATTAAAAACAACATTAATAGAGATACAATTTTTCACATATTGGGTTTACTTAAATTTTGTCTTTCACAAGATTACTTTTCTTTCAAAAATATTATTTATAAACAGGCACAAGGATTGGCAATGGGCAATCCCTTATCACCTTTGCTAGCAGATCTATTTCTGAATAACCTGGAGATTAATATCTTTGACAATCTTTCTCTGAATCAAAACCTGTTTCAAAAAGTTTTATATTGGTTCAGATATGTGGATGATGTGTTAGCTATCATTGATGGAAATTCCTCAGATGCAGACAATATCCTAGTTTCACTTAACAACTTACATCCAGCTATAAAATTCACCTTAGAAACAGAATCCAACAATTCTATTAATTTTCTAGGCTTAACATTAACTAGAATAGATAATAAATTAAATTTTTCAGTCTTCAGAAAACCAACTCAGACTGACCATACCATCCCTAGATCTTCTAATCATCCTTTTCAACAGAAAATGGCCTCCTTTTATTGCTATATCCATCGTTTACTTAGCTTACCTCTGTCAGATTCAAATTTTAAATCAGAATTAGAAATTATTAAACAACTTGCTTATAGTAACGGTTACACCCCTACTTTGGTTGATAACATACTCAACAAATTAAGGAATAAAAGGAATAGATCACTAGCATACAACACTGTCCATAACATTTCTAACTCGACAGTTATTTATCGATCAATATCGTACTTAGGTTATCCCTCAGACAATATAGCCAGAATCTTAAAAAACATCCCTAATCTAAAACTTTCTTTCAAAGTTCAAGAAAATATCAAATCTATTTTTTCCCACACTAAAGACAAAATCAACAAATCGTCAAAAAGTGGTATTTATAAATTATCCTGTGGTGAATGCCCGGTGACCTATGTGGGGAGAACAATGCGACCTTTGGATATACGCATCAAAGAACATCTGTCTAAGATTGATAAATCTAGTTTTGGGAATCATATACATGCTTCGAAGCATGGCTTTAGTCCTCATAGAGACAGTAAGATCCTACACAGTATACCCAATAATAATTATATAAAAATGAATTTACTAGAAGATCTTGAAATCAGTAGAGAAATGAAAAGGAATCCTCAGAATTGTGTCAACACTCAAATTAACTTAAATTGTAAGTTTGATCCAATCTTTAAGAAGTTTCTTTAATAATACACTTAGTATAAAATTAACCATCATTTGATCAAGCTTTGACCTTTATTTTTATAAAAGAGAGAATTTCTTGTACTTGCTTTCATTGATTTCATCTACATAGAGAATGTTTGATATTTTCTTCTTCAATATTTATTTTATTAATAATATCGATAATCAATAATAGCTGTTGAACTCTTAACTTAGCAAATGATACTTCTCCTTGGTTGGTTTTCATCTACTTTCTTCTATTTGGTCAAACTTTAAAGTTTTGTTTTTTGATAATTTTGATAAATGTATATTTAAATCTTCACGTTAACTAATCAATTTAAAATATTTAAATTTAAAATTCTACAGTAGCTAAAATTAATAATCAATAACCTTCAGACGTCATTTTAGACATTTTCAATTTTTAATTAATAATTTAAATACAGAGGTCGCTCTAGGATTTATTTCCGTATATCCGAGCTTCCTATTTCATTTTCATTTTACTTCAAAAATGTAAGTCAAAGACAGCTGTTGTCGTTACTGTATGTGGTAACCATGTTTTTATAAAAACTTTTTAAATGTGAATTATACATATGTATAAGGGTTAGACCCAAGATCTGTGGCCTACAGAGCCCGATCTTTGAATTTTAATATGTCGTTTGTGCACAATTTTCCTTCTATGAAGTATTTATTGCCTAATTGACGTAAGTTTTTTCTATCATTGTATTTTATATAAAAAAATTTACTTAACTTAACGTTATTTTAGGATAGCTCTGATGATGACATTTATTATGTCGAAAGTATACTTAGCTTAATTATTAAATTATTTTACACACTATCAATTTTATTGAAAACATACAAAACCAGCTTACCAGTTAGACCTATTTAGAAGTGTGTACAAGTCTTACAGTCTTTTTCAACTCTTAAATATTGACTCTAGAGCTGTCGTGAACAATTTTGGTGAAATATTGTCTTCTTGTCTAACTCCTCGAGCTAAGCTGAATTTTTCTGTGTCCTCGTGTAGTCGTATACTTGATGTAGCGTTCTCGTAGATGTTTTTGATTAGTGTCGTGTACCTGTAATCTATTCGGCTTTGATTTAGGGCATCCAGTATTCTTTCAAACTCTACAGAATCAAAAGCCTTCTCGTAATCGACAAATGCAAGAACCAGTGGTAGGTTGTACTCGATGCACTTTTCTATCAAGATCTTTATGGTATGCAAATGGTCATTTATACCATATCCTGCCCTGAAGCCTGCCTGTTCTTTGGGCTGATAGAAATCAAGTTTAGGTGTTAGCCTCTTTGTTAAGATTTTCATAAAGAGTTTGTACATATGTGTCAAGAGGCCGATGGGTCTATAATTTTCTAATTTAGAAATATCGCCTTTTTTGTGTAACAAGACTATTACTGCATTGTTCCAGTCTTTTGGAATCGTACGCGCATGTAAGCATTTATTAAACAGTTCGCTTACTGATTTTAATAAAAATTCTCCTCCTCCTTTTATTGCCTCGATAACGAGTTTATCATCACCAGGCGATCCATGGCTCTTCATTTCCTTTAAAGCTGCTCTTACTTCTGACACAGTAATCGGTACACAGTAATACTTTTATGTATTTTACCTATACAAACTTATGCAGCAGAGACTTTAACACTCACGCAAAAATCTGCGAATAAACTCAGAGTTACACAACGAGCCATGGAACGTGCAATGCTGAACGTGAGCCTTCGAGACCACATAACAAACCAACAAATCAGGCAAAGATCAGGAGTTCAAGACGTCATCGAAAGAACCACGACGCTTAAGTGGAACTGGGCAGGGCACTTAGGTAGAACACAAGATGGACGGTGGACAAGACGTATCATGGAATGGAGGCCCAGAAACTATAAAAGAAGCCGAGGACGACCACCGACTAGATGGACCGATTATATAAAACTTGTAGCGGGAAACTGGCTACAAGCGGCCCAGTGTAGAGAACACTGGAAACAACTGAGGGAGGCCTATGTCCAGCAGTGGACGCGGTTGGCTGATTGATGATGATGATGAATCTGCGTTTACACAAAAGTGTTTTTGCTTGGACAATAGCGGACTGCTTCTAGGTCAAATTCAGCTAAGGAATCACCAGCAAGTGCGGTTTTTTTGGAATTCTTCGTATTTCTGGCTAATATTTTCCTTTTTAAACAGCGTTCGTGCTCACTCTGTTTTATAGCTTGTTCTTTTGTTGACAAGTGATCAAATTCGAAATGAATATAATAAAAATACTTCTTGAGCGTATGAAATGACAAGTTACACTCCATGCCCCGGAA